TGCTGCTGACTTAAATGAGGAAACATCGTACCATTTCGTGAGGTTTGAAACACTGAATTCGGCACAGACGACTGCAATGAGATTAGAACCGAGCCTCTCGCAGGCTACTCCAGTGGGGCCCGTAGCTAAAAGACAAGGGCGGTGCGGCTTAGACCGAAAGGTTCGACTTGACCTCCGGCACAGGCAACCCCCGCGACCTCCGGCTCTCGCTGGCTCGTGGCCGCCTTCTGACTTTGCTGACGACTTACGTCGAGAAATCGTCCAGTCTTAAATCTCCCAACACCTGCGTGTGTGCCGTGCATTCAGCTCTGTATCCGCACACGACCTGTTCAGCCCCTGGCCTCTGACGGCGGCGCTCGGTCCGACAGGCCCTGCAGCGGCCGGGCGGCCAGCCGTGCGCCGACTCCCAGCTGGTGGAGCTGCTGCCGGTGTCGCGGCTGACGGTGCGCGAGCGGGCCGGTCCGGACGACCCGGACGCCGTGGCCTGCGCCCGGCTGGGCGGCGTGCTCGTGACGCTGACGCCGGCCCGCGCACTCCGCTGCGACCGCTGCTTCCGACACACGGCCTCCGTCGCCGGCCAGCTGTGCGAAGCGTGCCGAGCCGTGGTGGGCGAGAGCTGACGGCTGCTGGGAGGCTGATGGAGAGAGGGCCCGACGGCCGGTCCGGCGGGGCGCCGGTGTAATGTGTTTTTGAATGTTTGGCGTGCGGAGTGTCGGCGTGCGGGCCGAGGACGTGTGGAGCTGGTCTTCGTCGAGCTCGAGCTCGAGCTGTGTAGCGATGGTCTGCCGGATTTGCCGTCAGCGGCCGGTTTCTTGATGGGTGTAATACATCGAGATGCCACGTCGGACTGGGCTTTGCAGACTGATAACTGTGGTTGCGAGTGAGGTGGTGAATCGCGCTAGTCACATTTGAGCGGCAAACACATTTTTACTTCAGCTGTGTGTCCGTTATGCTTTGAAGGGCCTTGGATACCCGGGGCCGTTGACTGCAGGCCCATGCGATTTCATCAACACGAGGCGCATTTGTTTGAGGGTAGTGCCGTAGAAACTAGAACGCATTCGCAGATTGTGCGCTTGATCAAGCATGCCGTCACAAAACACGTCAACTTGAAGAAAGTACAGCTGTCTTCGTTTAATGAACGCGGAAACATAACATTCGTCAGTTGCAAAGAGAGCGGCAACACCGACCGACCGGTGTGCAGTTGGCCGGGACCGGTGTGCAGTTGACCGAGACCGGTGTGCAGTTGACCGAGATCGGTGCGCAATTTACCGAGACTGGTGTGCAGGTGACCGAGACCGGTGTGCAGTTGACCGAGATCGGTGCGCAATTTTACTGAGACTGGTGTGCAGGTGACCGAGATCGGTGCGCAATTTACCGATGACACGGTGTGCAGGTGACCCGAGATCGGTGCGCAATTTACCGAGACCGGTGGGGCTTGACCGAGATCGGTGCGCATTTACCGAGACCGGTGTGCCGGTGACCGAGATCGGTGCGCAATTTACCGAGACCGGTGTGCCGGTGACCGAGACCGGTGTGCAGTTACCGAGATCGGTGCGCAATTTCTGAGACTGGTGTGCAGGTGTGACCGAGATCGGTGCGCATTTACTGAGACTGGTGTCAGGTGACCGAGATCGGTGCGCAATTTACCGAGACCGGTGGGCAGTTGACCGAGATCGGTGCGCATTTACCGAGACTGGGTGTGCAGGTGACCGAGACCGGTGTGCAGTTGACCGAGATCGGTGCGCAATTTACTGAGACTGGTGTGCAGGTGACCGAGATCGGTGCGCAATTTACTGAGACTGGTGTGCAGGTGACCGAGATCGGTGCGCAATTTACCGAGACCGGTGGGCAGTTGACCGAGATCGGTGCGCAATTTACCGAGACTGGTGTGCAGGTGACCGAGACCGGTGTGCAGTTGACCGAGATCGGTGCGCAATTTACCGAGACTGGTGTGCAGGTGACCGAGACCGGTGTGCAGTTGACCGAGATCGGTGCGCAATTTACTGAGACTGGTGTGCAGGTGACCGAGATCGGTGCGCAATTTACTGAGACTGGTGTGCAGGTGACCGAGATCGGTGCGCAATTTACCGAGACCGGTGGGCAGTTGACCGAGATCGGTGCGCAATTTACCGAGACCGGTGTGCCGGTGACCGAGATCGGTGCGCAATTTACCGAGACTGGTGTGCAGGTGACCGAGACCGGTGTGCAGTTGACCGAGACCGGTGTGCAGCCGGCCTTTCGTGCTCGAGAGCAAGCCGTGCATGCCGCCGTCTCGAGACGTTCAGGTGCTTCATTCGCTGCCCGTGGTGCTGTTGCATACGTTCCCCCGCTGCTCATTCTTGCTAAGTATACCCACCTGTTATCCCGTTTAAATTTTTCCAGCGCTTAAGGTTTGAATTATGGAAGAGCTTCAAGAAAGTTTATCTCCAGGCTTACTTGTGTGTCGTTAATCGCAAAAGTAGCGTGAATGGAGAAAACTGTGACTAAGCGAAGTGTAAGCAGGAACATTTTGCAGCGTTTCTTAAAGAATCTATCGCACATTTCGTAAACGTCTCACCCATACCATACCCGAACCCACACCGGCGATGCGTCCAAACTCAGTTCTCAGCCCAGCCCGTTTCCCATTCCCTATGGGTATCCCATAGGTTTGCCCAACCTGTGAAGTGCTCTTCTGTCGCTTTTTGGCTGTTTTTAAGGATCTAAATGTCGGATTACAGCAACTTGCGCAGATAAGGGCAAGGAAATAACTTTACGATGCAAGCGAAGGCATTGTTAACAAATCAGCGAGCGGTCGTTTCCGATTCATAGCTCCGGGTATGTATGGCTCCATTAATCTTGGTCGGGATATGATATACATGGTAATAATATGATCAGCAGAATCACAGCCACATGACTCATACCATCTGCAGCATGATGATAGTGCGTTCTGGCGTGTGATGCCGCCCGGCCTCGCCGAGCCATTCGTCGTGTTGGTCTGTCTCGGAACGGCTCCCCGCTGTTTGCACAGCCATAGGAGCGCAAGCAACAGGTTCGGAGGGGTGGAGACAGATGGCGTGCCGCCAGCGTTAGCTTGTTTGGTTAAGTGTCTGGAGACCCGTTACTTCACAGATCGCAGTTGGGTGGAGTGCTGGGTTGGAGGCTGGCGTTGTTGTGAGCCGTGGAATTCCGCGCCCGTACCCCTGGCGTTCTCGAAGCCACACTTCCGCTCCTCGAAATGCCAGTTGTGATGACATTTATGAAATTTTAGTCAAATGATTTCATATGGACCGATGTCGAACGTTTCATGAAATCTACCGCAGGGCAACGTTAGGTAGGAATCAATGTTTGCGCAATGGTTACGTTCTGTTTACATTAATTATTTCACATTTATTTTACATTCGATCAATACATTCTGAAGCCATTTTTTTTATTGAAGCTGCGACTTATGCCGTATAGGCATGTGAGCTAAAAGCAGTTCATCCATGTCCAATATTCTACTTTCACATGATTTTAGACACTGGCAAACCTGCTTGACCTACGCGGTCCTTGCCATCACGCAGCACAAATGAAATTGTTTGGGTTCAAAAGATGCGGGCTCCAACCACGGCATACTCCTCCTGGAAAACATTCCATTCGAATCGGCGGCTACTTCGCATTCCGTAGAAAATGTCATGCATGCATGAGATAAGATGACAATCGTACGTCTTATGTATTGAATCCATGAATAGAGGGCAACTCCACGGATTTCACTTTGCGTGATGAACTGTCTGATCGCCAGCACTGAGAGCAGCTAACGGATTTCAGTGTAAGACTCATGACTGTGACTGTATATTCATATATATGTATACATATATATATATATATATTTGTGGGTGTGGGTGTGGGGTGTGGGTGGGTGGTGTGGTATGGGGTGGGTGTGGGCGTGGGTATGTGGGTGGGTGTGGGTGTGTGCGCGCGCACGCGCGTATGTAGCGTGTGTAGTATGCTTACTAGATGTGCCGGCCGTGTTTGTATCCGTTATATATTACTTATATTTTGACAGAAATACACAGATACACACTGTACACACGGACACCGCGTCGGGAGCCGCCTGCACACACCATCGCCACCCAAGGGAGCAGCAGCAGCTACGCACAGGGTGTGTGATCTGGAAGGGGGAAGGGGAGCTCCCCCTCCCCGGAAATAAATAACTCAAAGTGGTAATCGGCTACCCGACTTGCAACAACTTCCGTTGCGCATGCGTACGCTGTTATAAATGAAAGGCAGTCGTGCAGTAGTCGGCTGATGTAGGTCCAGCGTGCAGCATGGAACCACCGCGAAATACGCGATGCTACTGCGTCATCATGCCACCTGACGTTCGTCGCACGCGATCCGCGCTATCTCCGTGTGATTCGAATATGCCATTCCACCACTCACCCCTTCAGCACGCCTGGCTCATGCATGCACGCTCAATCCCATCCCTCACACAGCAGAGGATCCTGACTGTGACTTCCTAAGCGAATTATTGCTTCTGTGGGTCGTGCTGGATAAATTATTCATGACCACCCTCGACTTGGCTATATTCGTTCCGTGGAACCATCCAGTGGTCTGCCCGTCTTGTCCCGCCGATCGCGCTCGTACCGCCTCGAGGAGAGCGGAGATCCCTGGTCAGGATCGAGTGGTCTGCCCGTCTTGTCCCGCCGACCGCGCTGTCCCGGCTCGACGGAACGGAGACCCCTGGTCAGGATCGGGTGGTCTGCCCGTCTTGTCCTGCCGATCGCGCTCGTCCCGCCTCGACGAGAGCAGAGACCCCTGGTCAGGATCGAGTGGTCTGCCTGTCTTGTCCCGCCGATTGCGCTCCCCCGCCTCGACGAGAGCGGAGACCCCTGGTCAGGATCGAGTGGTTTGCCCGTCTTGTCCCGCCGATGGCGCTCTTCTGCCTGGACGGGAGCGGAGACCCCTGGTCAGGCCGCACTATACACCGCAGCCTTCCAAACTGCTGCATGGCACCGTAATACGGGTAAGGAGACACGGCCAGTCTCTCAGCGCTGCAGCGTGCCGTGACGCAGCAGGAGCTGACTCCGACAGCGCCCCAGCAGACGCGTGTAGGACGCTGCCACCATCAAGAACCGCCGCACATCC